CGTTGGTGTGAGTCCACTCTCGGCTCCAAGGGCAAACAAAAAAAGGAAAAGACAGCTGGTCGCCACGGCAACCCAGGAGCGCACGCACACACACACAGGTGATGTGTGGGCTGCGTACGGGCCGGGGGAGCGCGGCGGCTACGTCAGCGTGCGCGGCGTTTGAACGATGGAGCCGAGGGACCTTTCACCACTTCAGCAGAAGAGTGAAAATCCAAAGTTTTATTTATACACAGACCGACCGTCAGTGTCGCGGCCCGAGTCGTACCTCGACGTCAGAAACAACAAGTCTGTCGGTGCGCGTTTCACGTCGAGGCCTCAAACTTTCTCTGCTGCCGTGGTGTCGTCGTACCTGTGGCTGTTTCCAATTAAAGCCCCGCTGAGGGCAGTTGACTGTGTGATTGTGGGGACTTCTGGGAACACTTTCTTTTCTCTCTCTCTCTTCTGAATAACAAAACATTTATCATTATGTCGCTCCTCCTCTTAACCTCTGAGGAATGTGGCTTTGATAATCTGTCATCTCTCTCTCTCTCTCTCGTGTGTCATTGATGTGCCGTTCACTCGGCGCTCCCTGACGTAGTTTTAATTTCTGGGTGTGACTGCGATTCACATGCAAATGTGGAAAATGCAACGACAAGTCCAAAAAAAACAAGAAAAGAAATCAAAACAAAAGTTTAATTACTACTTGGAGGTTGAAAAAAACATGGACGACTCCACGACCGACACAGAACAATGCTGAGAGAGGGAGTCGTGAAGAGGAGTGACGAAGAGTCCGTCAGCTTCCAAAGACGTGACTGTGATTGGCTGAAATCACCGTTCACACGTGTGTGTGTGTGTGTGTGTGTGTTTCCTAGCTGCGTTTCTAATGAAGTGTGATATGCAGTCGTCCTTACAGAAGGTTCTGGAACATCTGAAATGTTGCGGAAGATCAACCTGACACTGTCAGATTCCGTCTTCAGCAGCAGATGAACTTATCAAAGGTTGATAATCTGATTCTGGATCGCTGCCTGGAATCATTTGAAGATTAATTTAGCAGATGTTCACGACACAGTCGTCGTTGGCAGGTACAGGAAGACAAATATGCAGAAGCTGAATGATGTTGCGGTAAATCGATCCACAGATTAGTCGCTTACTTGGAAAGACTTTTGGCTCCGCCCTCAAAACTTTTCCTCGTAGTTTGAGACAGGAAGTGCTGCGGTAGAGTGTTAGCCCCACCACTGTAAACAACGGATAATTTAGTACGTACGTAAACACTCGGCTCTACACCCTTCAACATCCAAGGCCTAATAAGTTCAAGTGCTCCAGTTTCTGTCTTTCTTTTTCTAACTTTCTTTTGCGTGTGGTCAGGGTGATGAAAGTTACCTTTTATCGTGTGTTTGCATTGGAGCCCGGGGAATTTTCCTGCCCAGGTTCCGGTTTCGACCCAGTCCATTGTTTCTTCTGTCGTTTAACATTTTTCTGTAGTTGAATCAAAAGTTCAAATTTAGCCCAAGGAGGAGATGGGGGGGGAGGGGGGGAGCTGCTCCTTCAGCAGGGGTGGTCCTCTGGTTAGATAAGTCCAATCAGACCGCCATGGTCGATAGAGATCAGATTGAGATGACAGACTGGAGTGCTGCCCAGACACACGTGTGCGCACACACACACACACACACCGACCGACCGACCATCAACAGCAACAATGAAGAGGAAATTAAAAAGACAGAAAAGAAAAATCTTGGTTCTTTGTTGTTTCACAGAGCTGAGTGAAACCACAACATGTTCCCAGGACGACGTCTCCAGAGTCCAGAGGTGCAGCTGGACTAATGTGCTGCACCTCCAGCCTCCCTTTAACCCTAGCAGGACAGGACTAGAACAGACTAGGACTAGAACACAGGTTACTCTCTGTCTGAACACAACAGTAAAGTGGTGGTGCGTTCAAGTGCTCCAGTTTCTGTCTTTCTTTTTCTAACTTTCTTTTGCGTGTGGTCAGGGTGATGAAAGTTACCTTTTATCGTGTGATGGTTTCATTGGAGGACGGTGGATATTTCTGACCAAGGTTCAGGTTCGACTCCAGTCCATTGTTTCTTATGTCGTTTAACATTTTTCTGTAGTTGAATCAAAAGTTCAAATTTAGCCCAAGGAGGAG